TTGCTGAAACATTTGAGGATTCAAATGTCAAAATGTTTTAAAATTATATTGTGAAGTAATGTTCCTGAAGTTCATGAGAGAACATTCCCAGATCTGCAGTGCAATTTTTCAAATTTCTGGCATATCATGTTAGTAGATTATCACTTAAAATAAAATTGATTTAAAATAAGAAGTATCATTTTGAAGCCACCAACTATTACCTTTCCTCCCAAGAAGATAACATTATTTACCATGCCATAGATAAGTTTCTCACACTGCACACATGGTCATAAATACACTACGATGGTGTAGGCCAGATATGACTGTCCCCAAGACAATGATTCTTTTTTAGTCAAGAAAATCAGTACAGTAAATAACTTTTCTTCCCTTCAAGACAATCACAGTGCTTGAGGCTGCTGCGACACAAAAACAAAATATCTTCACAAATGTCTCCAAACAGTCAAGCTGAAAATCTAAGCCAAAGTTTCATTTAACAGCCTGTCAGTTTTTTGATATGAAGCTAATGAATGCAGTGGCAAACAAATCCATCAAACCTAACATCAAAACAACTGCACTTCATCCTACCAAACGGAAAAATGAAATACAACCTGCAGGCCAGCTCTTTGATCCAGCCTAGCCAGGAAGTGGACAAGTGCCACCACAGCTGCCACACAGAAGTAACCATGGACTCCATTTAACCACAGGAGAGAACGATCCAGAAATGGGAAACATTCATCTCAAATATGCACCAAAATTTTCTTTCAATTGCTAAAGCATTTCATAGTTTTAAATCTCTACCAGAAAAAAATGTAGCATTTTACACTAGATCACTCTGATGTTCAAACCAATAAAGATGCCTAAAATAACTCACAATGGTATGTTCCACTCATACTTCAGTTTTGAAAATGGAGGTTTATTAAAAGCCCTTCTGTTCTTTATGAAAGCTCCCTAAAGACAAAGAAAACATGCCCATCTTCTTTGTACAAACACGTAGCACAATCCTGTTGCAAAGGAGGAACTCACCAAGCACTCTCTGAAGCTGAACTCTGCCTAAGCCAGTAGGCAAATGGGCATGTAGCAACCTAGAGCAATCCTCTCAATTCTTCTTCAGTGAAAACCTTACCTCTGAACAATGAAATGGGGGAAAATTACATAACCCTCTTCTTAGGTAGGTGAGTTCTCTTAAAGGCAAAGCCCTTCTGTTCTGGAGTATCATGCAGGATTTTTCTGAATAAAATCACCAATATCTCCAATATTATCAGTGAGCCTGGGGTTATCTTTTCAAAACCTAGTGTTTTGGTGTATTTTTCAATTAAATATAGGATTTTGTAAAGTTCTTTCCTAAGTTGTCAAAGTAGAAATATTGGTTTGTAATATGTAAAATATAACCAGTACAGACCCCACATTCTGCACCACATTAACTTCTGTCCCACAAAGGGACACTATTGGGAGTTTTTACATACCCATATGAACCCAATGTGACAGGTAAAGAAGACCTCACTGCACCTAGTGCTTCCACTAGGAAAAAGCATGCCATTATTTTTTTTAATTATCTGTCCCCCCAAAAAGCATAACTCATCATCACTTGTGAATAACTCTTTCTTAATAGCTATCATTTAGAATAAACTGGATATGGCAAAGAATTAAGGCAAAAATTTGTTAGTTTAAGAATTAATTTTGGGCACCCTCAAAGCCACAAGTCTTTTAAGTGCAGTTTATAATTAATCCATTATACATTTGTCCTTAAAAAAAAAAACATAAAAACTAACTGCCTAATTCACAAATTTTCCCGAGACTAAAAGCTACACACGCATGCATGGACAGCATGCACATACACATGATACAAGAGTGTGTAAAGAAACAGCCTTGGAGATCAATAAAAATGTGTCAGATAAATTATAAAGACACCAACATATGCACAAAAATGCCATCACAGCACCCTACAATATAAGATAACTTATTTTTCTGAGAATAGCCAAGATAAAAAATTGAGGGGTATAATTTAAGAAAGCATAAGTATGTTTTAGTGAAACATTCAAAACTGTATCCATTACAATTTAGCTTCCAGTTTTTGTTGTTGTTTAAATAACCTTGTTTTTCACTTCATTTTATTTATTTTTTTATTTTATTTTATTTATTTATTTTGAGAGAGGGAGAGGCAGAGAGAAATGGAGAGAGAGAATCCCAAGGAGGCTCCATGCTTGTTAGCACAGAGCCAGACCCGGGGCTCAATCTCATGAACCATGAGGTCATGACCTGAGCCAAAATCAAGGTCAGATACTCAACCGACTGAGCCACCCAAGGTGCCCCTAGTTTCCAGTTTTTATGCAGAATAACTAAATTAGTTACATCTACTCAAAGTAGATTCTTAATATATCACCATGTCAATTATTAATTGGAACTCCGTGGTAGACAGAATATTGCCCCCACCTTCGCACCCCTACCCCCAACAACAAAGACATCCATGTCCTATTCCCTATAATTTGTAAATATGTCATCTTATATGACAAAAGGGATTTTGTGGACTGCCTGCTCTGAAATGTAGAAGACCACCTGGAAGGACATGAGAGATATCTCTAGGAGCAAAGACCTGGCTGACAGGCAGCAAAAAAATGGGAATTCAGTCCTACAACTGTAAGGAACCAAATTCATCCAACAATCTGAACAAGGGAATGGATTCTTCACTAGAATCCCAGTTAGAAATGTAGCCCTGCAAACACCCTGATTTTTGCTTAGTGAAACTAATATCAGACATACAACCTACAGGGATGGTAAGTGAGTATTGTTTTAAATCACTACTTTTATGGCAATTTGCTCTAGTAGCAATAGAAAACAAATACATTTCTCAGAGCAGCACCACCTCACCAAAATAAGGGAAGGGTGGAGACAACACCTAAAAACATCTCAAACACATGCAATCTAGTGCACTATTTACCCAAAACTGCAGTATAGCCATTGAACAATTTTGTACCTAGCAAAATTCCAGAACCAAGACAGTCATATTCCTTAACTAAATTGACTGATACAAATCAGCACAGCATGAATGGATATCCACATACCTAAGGTTTTCTCCCTCTCATAACAGATCTATGGGTGGAGAGGTATTTCTAATTTATATAGGAAGGAACAAACAAAATAAACAATTTTCCTAATGATATACGACTAGCCAGAAGAAGAGTTGGGCCTTAGATCCCTGCTTCCTCCACCACAGCGCACTACTTCTTACAGTCCCACAATCCTAGGCTCTGTCAGCTGGGATTTCAGAGGACCACTGCCCACCTCTCTTACTTGGTCACACCCCAGTCCCATTCTACATTAACAAAGAATGTGGAAACCCACCCAGGACATTTTAGCCTTGAGGAGAAACTAATCTGGCCAATACCATGAACTAGATCTGAAACTCAGAGTAAACAAGCACCAGCTAATTTTCTGATAACTGAACAGCTGTGATAGCTGACTTACTCTGTCAATGATTAAAACTGCAAGCCACAGGAGCACCTGGGTGGCTGAGTTGGTTAAGCATCTGACTTCAGCTCAGGTCATGATCTCGCGGTTTGTGGATTTAAGCCCCACATTGGGCTCTGTGCTAACAGCTCGGAGCCTGAAGTCTGCTCCAGATTCTGTGTCTCCCTCTCTCTCTGCCCCTCCCCCACTCACGGCTCTGTCTCCCAAAAATGAATAAATGTTAAAAAAAATTGTTAATAAAAAAAATAATGCAAACCATAAAATACATACCTTGCTATTACTATGGGTGTATGGCTCGGTTTCAATGTAGATCCAAGCACTACCTCTCTGTGAAAACACTGCAGGTAGCTGGCCAAGGTACATACACTGAGTTTCCTATTTTTTTTATTAGGTTTATTATAATATGAAGGATCCATAATGGGAAGAAGTAGTTCAGTTCTATTCCTTTCTAAATTACCCCTCATAAATAGAAATTACTCAGAACAGAAAAAGTCTTCTAATAGCAGGAGCTTTCCTTTTTTCATAAATCCATACAAATGGTTCCTAGGCTGCCAAAGGGCTCTACTTTTATTTTAATATATTATGTAATTTTCTAAATACACATGTAAATCAAACCTGGTGTTCTCTTCCCTGAATATATTTCTAAGTTCACAATGGTTCCACATACAAGCTTTATCAATGTGGAACGAAAAACACTCACTTATACCATGCAGTGGCCAAGATACAGCCACATAAGCTGTTATGTCATTTTCCACTAAATCTGTGTCAATTTTACACACTCCGTAAAATACACAGTTTCATTCATAGCTGCCCTCTGCCAGCCTATACCCTTGCCTTCAAAGCCATAGGAAAGAAAGCAACTTAATGTAAGCCACCATCTCTTTGAAGATGTCCTCTATTTAACACCACAGGGGAAATTAATTAAATTTAATGGAAGTTGTTTCTTGTGAATGAAAATACACAGTATGTGAACTAAATTAAATATACTGAGCAGGAAATGCAAAATTTTGTACAAATGCAATATAAAGATACATTTCTTATTAAAGTATATTCTGCATTACTTTCAAGAAATTTATTTCTGCACTAAGGGAAGTTTTAATCATTTCTTCTTACCACCCTCCCTCAACCTCTTACTATAATTTTTACAGACATTTTCATCTATAAGTAGTTGTTTTCTAAGCCATGGAACTAAATTCCATCTTTAGTCCATGTTAGGTAAAGAGCCAAGTCTTTACCTAACATGGAGCCACAGGGAGCCACTGGGAAATCTCACAAAAAAATAATTGGTGGCTTTAAGAAAGGAAGCAAACATCAGTTGCATAAAATTACCTCTCAAAGTAAACTTCTCCACAAAAATCTCAAACAGAAAACTATAGCTATAAATGATAACACATGCTATGTAAAACAAATATATCTAGTCTGAAAATAAATTACCATGGTGTGAGGCACACAGTATTAATGAAGGGAAAAAAAGTGCTGCATATGATCTTAGATTTCCCACCACAATAACCAGAATACACATTTAATTTATGCCTTATTTTTGAGGCATAACTTACCAATTTAGCAACCTTCCCATAGTCAATCCATCTGACTGTAGCAAAATTTGTAGATTCTGCACAGTTGAAACCATGATTAAAACCAGCATGGTAGCCATATGGAAAAGTAATCATAAATTCTCCAGCCTCCTGAGTGATCTGCAGGGTACAAAACATATAATATTTTCAATTATCAGACTTTCCAAATTGCAAAGACAATTAAAATATATTTCCTATTTAAAAAAAAGAAAAAAATGCCATGATATCAGAGCTATCTAGTATAAAAGAAGTTCCCCCAGAGAAACTTTAAAGACTTTTCTAAACAGGGTGTGACCTCTGGCAATGTAATTCCCTCATTCAATCCATAATCAAAGATATTTTATTTTATTTGAAGCTGTCTTTAAGTTATCCAAGTAAATTTGTTCATATTAGCAATCAATGTGCATATTTTTAATACTTTAAAAAATCATGTTACTGGAGTTATTTCACAGGACATATTTTGACTGATGTTTGTTAGAGCTAAAAAAAAACTTCAATAATGCATGCTCAACAGGCTTTACTATTAATTCTATTGCTAAAGAGTTGGTGGTATTCACCAAATTATTCTTCCATAATATTCAGAAAACATTTAATTAACTGTGTTCCATTTAATAGTAAAATTTCTATCAAAGAATTATTCAAATATGTATGTGTAAGTGCATCTTCAAATATAATTAAAGTAACTTGAATAAACCAGTCAGAGATTAAAGACCAACATGAAAAATATACTTATTCCACTCCTATTTATTAGGCTAAAGACATGGCTTTCTATAATTACCAAAACACACAAAATACACCACGAGCTGTAGAAAAATAGTAAAACAAAATTTTTTGGTGTTTTTTTTTAATTTACCTATACTATTATGGACTATCAAATTTATTATCCATGGTTAATTTTCAGTCCTAAAATGTTGAGAAATATGTGGGTATGTACATGTATGTAAACATTCAGGAGGCATACTGTATAAATAAATAACAGTTGTACACAATGCAACTCGGTTGCCATTTTAGGGATGCTAAAATGTTGTAAAAGTATTTTCTTTCCCAACAATCCTGAAATTTATCTCATCATCTTCTCCCCCATGACAGCCCAGCAGGTGTTCTATCGCAATGAGCAGCAACTCAGTTGCCACCTGGCAGGCAGAGAATGGCTATCAGTGTTCAACATGGTTCCGGTTCCATCATGAGCTACATGAGAACACAGCCTGGTTCTCTCCTTTCCTGGTCTCACTGAATTTCATTAATTATAATTGTGCTTGGAAACTATGCTTTCCCTATACTTTGTGATAAAACAAAACTCACCCTGATCACCTGTTTATAACCCTACATAGATGGGGGAAGAGGGTGCAGCTGCTGCCTTTGGAATAAGGAGACTATCTTCACTGCTCCACTGAATGCCACCTACAATCTTTTTCTACTCTACCTAGAAAATCTTGCCATGTTGAAAAAGAGCACCTGTTCCTATTGAATGGGACTCTAAATTTTATGCTTCTGTATAATTTCTAGAAACAGGTCAGTCCCAGTTTACCAAAATATAAGGCTAATTAACTGCCTTTGGTGTAATATACAGGTCAGAAAATAGAGTAGCAGAAAAGAATAAGTCACTTTTATTATAAAACTAAACAATCACCACAATTCCATATAATGAAGGAAGTTGAAAAGTGCACATGATCTAAAAGCATACATTATATTTATTAAGTACTTTTTCATATATATATATATGTACATATATATATATGATTATGTGCAAATACATTGAAAGAAGGAGGAAAATAATGTTTCTCCAAATGTGAAAGAACTGCCTAAAAAGAGGGTCGAAGTAAGGAGAAAGAATATGTTCTGTATAACATATATTATGCAAAGCCCTTTTTAGAGGTCATCTCTTTTCATCCTCATAACAGCCCTATTAAGTAGGTACTATTGTTATCATCATTTTCCAGCTAAAGAAACTGAGGCTTAGAAAAATTACATAATTTTCCCAGGTGACAGAATCAGGAATAAATTTGTGAAGTTTAATTTGGAAGCCTACACTACTCTGTCCCACGTTACATTACCATTATCAGAGAATATGTTTCTTGAGGAGCACAGAGTTATCACACATCCTTCATCAATGTAGAAAGGGAAGTGGGGGAAGTGGCAGTATTTCATATGAAAAACTGCAATTGCCAATCAGATGATGAGGCATTGGTGTCTTCAGAAGCCACAAAATGTCCCACCCTCAAGAGAGCAGAGGAGAGCCATCTGTGATTTACCAAGGAGTATTAAGAAGCCACAGCCCAGAAAGGGGTGGAGGGCACCTGCCTCCTTCTCCCCAAAGCTTGGAAAGGAGCTATGAGTTCCAAGGCCTCCATCCTGGGGAAATGAACCAATCCCACAATCCTACTACTTCACATAATCCCTTCTCCAAAGACCAGCTTGATCAATTATCTATCACCAGCCCTAAAATCATAAAAGATTTTCTATCCTTGGGAGACCCTAGTTCACTCATTCTCCTCTGTCTTCTAAAACTCCAACTTAAATAAAAGTATCTGAGCAAGCTAATGCCAACCACCTAAAAGACACACTCACTGATGATGTGTCTGAGACTAAAAAACCCAGTGCCCAGAGGTATCTGCAAGTGAGACAGAGCGCCACAGCAGCAGTGGCCCATCTCAGGGACACACCCCCCGCCCTCTGTAACAGTGGGCACTGTGACAGCGCTGCAGTTCAAGACCAGCCTCTCTCCACATCTGTGCACACCTGCCACAGTGCACATCTCAGAAGCATGCTTTTTGTCATGGGTAAGACTATGTGAGTAAAACAGTGGTGACAGCATCTCTGTGACACAAGACAAATATGTCTCATGCGTGAATATAGCTAGATGCTTTGTGCATGAGCATGGATTCCCCTCAAGCTGGAGAATGATTCCTGGTCCTTGCAAAAATTCCACTTTGAACAAAGCTGGGGATTGGGGGGTGGAATGCACTTTAAGGGCCTGAGATTAGTAAGAGGTAAAGATTTAGTCACAAGTGAAAAACTTCTGAGGTGAAAAACAGCAAAGATTATAGGAAGAAAAGTCAAATTAAAAATGAAGAAAAAAAGAAGATGAAGAGGGTATAGCTATTTATTAATGTTTCTATAAGGAGCTAATTACTAAATCCTCCTCTGAGAGGGAGCTTTTATTTATCTGGTCAAAAGTTTTTTGTTTTTGTTTTTTTTCTTCATTTTAGCTTCTTCACATAAAAGTTCTCATGCTCTGTAATAATTCTGACCCAATAACTACCCATGGACACAAAAATAGAAGAATCTAGCATGTACTGAGTCTTACAGAACTTAATCTTTAGAAATACTCCAAAGAAGCAATATCTGATTAAGTCATCAGGCAATTTTATCTATAATGAAATTTTCATTGTGCTATGTCTGAATGTGTTTAGGAGCAACATACTGGTGTCATAATCATTGACTCTAACCAAACTTCTAATAATAATTGTTTTTAAAAAATTGATCACATATATATAAATTGTTATTCATAATCACATATTGATCATATATATAATATATATAAATTATGTTATGTTTTATGTTATAAAAGACTTCAGTGTATAAGTGCTACATCTCATTTTGTTGAACGTTCTGCATTTTATTTTCAGTATTGTTATAAGTGAACTATAACCAGCATGAAATCTCTAGTAAATGTATCCTGAAATAAAAGTAACTTCAAATTAGTATTTAGACAAATAATTGCCAGGTTATAAAACATAAATCTGAATTTTCCTACCCACATCCTAAAATTCATATTTGAAGTCAAGCTTGTGTTACACTTGTCTTAAATATAAATACTACACACACGAAATGAAATGTTAAAGAGTAATACTAATATACCTTGTCAAAGGGAATACCATACTTCTTCAGTACTGAGGGAGATATCAGTGTCATCTTGTGGCGAAGAAATGCATCACACCCTTGAGAACTGCTTGGGAAAAAACCTAAATGGAAATAATAAATACAAGTAGTAACATGTCAATTATGATAAAATTTCGGATAGGTTTTGTAAACCTTACGTTCTAGTATTCTCACAGAATGACAGCTTTATGCAAATAGAGACTAACTCCACCATCAAAAAAACCTCCGGTTCTAAAAATTAGAGTCAGAATTCTTAAAAACTAAGGAATACATATGTATATCACTAAAGGTAGACCTTCTTACAAAAAGAGCTCCCAAAATTATTTTCATAACATATAAGATTACTAAGCCTTACAAATTTTTTTTTTTATTTTTTTAATGTTTATTTATTTATTTTTTGACAGAGAGACAGAGCATGAGCGGGGGAGAGGCAGAGAGAGAGAGGGAGACACAGAATCCGAAACAGGCTCCAAGCTCTGAGCTGTCAGCACAGAGCCCGACGCAGGGCTCGAACTCAGACTGGGAGATCACGACCTGAGCCGAAGTCCGATGCTAAACTGACTGAGCCACTCAGGTGCCCCAAGCCTTACAAATTTAAATGAACACATTTTAATTCAACCTGCCTTGTAACTGATGAATGTGCAAAGTAATAAAGCTGATTAGGAAGGTAAATACGCATTTTCATAAAGAAATCTCTCATTTTAAAAAGGCTCCTAGAAGTGATCATTCCAGATACACTTGTCCCAATGCCTGGCAAAGAACAGAAACACAGCAGTTTCCCACCTTTCTGTGTTTCTTTTTGATCAATTTAAAACAGTTAACTGCTAGTGTAGATAATGCTGCTATAAACACTGGGGTGCACGGATCCCTTTAAATTGGTATTTTTGTGTTCTTTGGGGAAATTTAACTCATATCTGGAATCTAAGAAAGAAAACAAAAAGCAAAGGGAAAAAAGAGAGAGAGAGAGGCAAACCAAGAAACAGACTTTTAACTATGGAGAACAAACTGATGGCTACCAGAGGGGAGGTGGGTGGGGACATGCATGAAATAGATGAGGGGGATTAAGGAGGGCGCTTGTTGTGAGGAGCACTGGGTGAAAGTGTTGGATCACAATACTGTACACGTGAAACTAATATTACACTGTACATTAACTAACTGGAATTTAAATTAAAACTAAAAAAAAAAAAAGGTTAGCTGCTATCAATTTCCTGAACCAACTTCCTGGCCAGCACCAGTCAAATGCTTGGACACCTGCTCCACCAGCCTGTGTGGGAGCAATGTTTTGAGGAGTCCCTTAAGTGAGGAAGCTTAACATGCAGCAACCCTTTCACTCAACAGTATATTACAGACCAAAACAGAGTCGTTTTTTTCTGCCACTGACTCCATCCCTGCAGTGCTGAGGCAGACTCTCATGAATTCAGCTATGCTAAGCTAGAGGAAAATGAGCATGCATGACCCTGGCTCTTCACCTTCCTCAGTCATAGGGAAACACAACCATGGCAAAGAGAGTGGGAAAGCAAGAAGGGAAAGGCACACATGGAAAGACAGAGAAGAATCCGAGACAGAGAACCCAGACAGAAAACAGAACTCACCAGGAAAACAAGGGATGCACATGAGTAAAGCGGGAAGAAGCAAAGATGCTGTTTAACTCCTCCACTACCAAAATGAAGAGAAAGCCACTGGAAATGCCAGTTATCTAACTCTGCTTCAACACACAAATAGGTCAAGCATGTGACGAATCTGACAAAAGGATTACCAGTATTCATTAACTCCATGAACCATTTTAACCTCATGGAAGTATCTCACAAGAATATTTTTAAAGTAAATAAGACTTTATTGATGCTACCGTGTAGTATGTGCTCATCAGAAGGAAATAAATCAGCCAGCCAAGAAATAGTCATTAGGTTATAAGGAACCATCTGCAAAAAGGCAGCATGTACTGCTTAAACATCTGCCCTTGAATTTTTTAAGTAGTTGGAAATATTAAAAAGTATATGCCAAAGGAAACAACAGAACTATTACTATTCCCTATAATACCAATGAGAATAAAAAGAATAATTTTGCCCTATATGGTCATTTGATGCAGCCCTTTGTTTATGGTTAATACTTATTATACATAAGTAGAAAATAAAACTTTATACCAAATAAGCAACCCAATGAAAAAATGCAGACTTCAGAGAATGAAGAGAAAATACCACACTAGTGTAATGGCCATATCTACACAATATGAAGTCCTGAGTCCTACACCACCGACAGTAAAGCACAGCAAAGTTGTCCCCAAACGCACAACCCATGGAAACATTTTAATATTACAATTCAAGTGGATTTAGCAAACTTTTCGAATCTGTAACTTTGTGCATCCTAAATGAATTGAGTTTTAAATTAAAATCAATGAAGAAAGAGGAGTCTATTTAATTTTCTTTTGATATGGATTTATAATCAGGGCCTGAACAATGTGGTGACTGGTCATAAGTTAATTTAAATTGGAAAACCACGGGAGGAAGGTAATTTACAGTATATTAAAAAACTTGAATTGGTTTAGAATTTATATTTACAACAGTCTATCAAAATTATATTTCACATCACTGAAAAACACCTCGTAAACAGCACAATTTATGTTCAAAGCATGTAACTCAAAATGAATTTTACCTCAAAATATCTACAGCAGTACATAGCTTATTCCACAGTGTATGAAAAGTATGTTATGTAACATATAAGCAAGCCAATATAATCAGAATACTTATAGATACAAGATGGTATTTTTAAAAACTCAGAGCAATGCTGGCTGAAGAAATGCTACTATCTTTCATAATTAGTTTAAAAAATGCTTTGGAATCACCTACATAAAAAAAAACTCTCTGATATAAAAGATAACATTAGGGTAAAAAATTCAACTTAAGACAAGTTGAGTTTTTCAAGAGTCACAAAGAAAAGAAAAAAGTGTTAAAATTTTTGCAAATAAGTTCTTTAAAATATGCCTTTCAGAAGCATTTTTTTCTACTCTAGTATTTGCTTTCTTGATGTTAAAGTTCTGAATAATTTATTTGGAAGAAGTGGTCTCTAAAAGTTATATTTTAATGTCACTACTATAACATTCCATAAAATTTTCTAGTTTACCAGTCACACTCTTTTCATGATCTTGGAAATCAAGAAGTTCCAACAAGAAAAAACTTCTACACTGACCCTTCAATGATCTAAGAGTAGAAACAGCAGTTAGCATCCCACTGCCACGCCTCACACCCATCTTCACCAGCTAATATGCTAGGTGTAGAACACAAAGAATAAACCTGCCACATCTTTCTGCAGCAACTACTTTTGTCACATTAGGTCACCTGGCTTATTCTTACATAAAAATAAACATATTAGGTAGGGGAGCAAGACACAAAATCTGCATGAGTGTTGTGGGGTAGTGAGGTTTTACTCTTTTCTCCTACAGGGATATTTTGGTAAGAATATTTGAGAGGCAGACTACAAGACATGAACTATGCTATGGGATTTTTGTATAAACCTTATCCAATGCCCTCTTACAGATGCTTGACACACAAGCTTACTTGAGCACCAACTTTCCTCTCTCCTTTACCACTCTGAATGAACACACACCTTTTCACTGGTATTAAATAGCAAAGCTAAGTTTTAGACCAAAGATCTAATTGTTTGAAATATTTAAAGCCACCCTCACCTTGTCCACATGGCCAGCAAAACAAGAGAGAATAGCAGTTGTTAAGAACTCGCTGAGTCTTACTGAGACATGGATTCTAAACACAACTTCAACACTCATGTAGCTTTGAACAGTCGTGTAATCTCTCAGCTCCTCAGTTTCCCTGTCTGTACAATTAGGATGCTATTATTATCTTCCTCACTGGATTCTTTTTTTCCAGCTTTATTGAGATATAACTGACATGTAACATTGTATAAGTTCAAGGTATCAGAGTAAGAATTTGATTCATGTATATACTGTGAAATGATTACCACAATAAGTTTAGTTAATATCCATCACTTCATACAGTTACAGTTTTTTGTAATGATAAATGATTTTAATGATACAGTTATAATGTCATAAATTTTATCATATCATAATCATAAGTGATATATCATAAATGACAATGATACAGTTTTTGGATATGATAAAAACTTTTAAAATCTACTCTTTTAGCAACCTTCACATATACAATATTAACTATAGCCACCATACTGTACAGTACATCTCCAAAACTTATTCTTCTTAGAACTTTTAAGTTTGTACCTTTTGACCACCTTAACTCATTTTCCTTACCCACCATGTCTGTGAACCACCACTAAAATCTGTTCTCAGTATCTGTATGTTCAGTTTTTTTAGATTCCACATGTGAGATCATCTAGTATTTGTCTTTCTCTGTCTGACTTATTTCACTTAGTGTAACAACTCAAGATTCATCTATGTTGTTACAAATGGTAGAATTTCCTTCTTATGGCTGAAATTCCATTGTCTTCACATGTAACACATTTGCTTTATCCATTCAAATGTCAATGGACACTTAGATTGTTTCTATATCTTGGCTACTGTGAATAATGCTTCAATGAACATGAGAGTGGAGAGATCTCTTCCAAACAATGATTCCTTTTCATATATATCCAAAAGAGGAATTGTTGGATCATACAGTAGTTATAAATTTAATTTTTTTAAGTTTGTTTATTTTATTTTGAGAGAGAGAGAGAGAGAGAGAAAGAAAGCAGGGGAGGAGCAAAGAGGAAGAAGGAGAGAGAAAATACCAAGCAGACTCTGGGTTGTCAAGAGCCCAATGCAGGGCTCAAACTCGCAAAATGTGAGGTCATGATGTGAGCCGAAACCAAGAGTTGGATGCTTAACTGACTGAGCCACCCAGGCGCCCCCTATCTTAAAATGTTTTGAAGAAACTCCATACTGTTTCCTACAATGGCTGTCCTCACTGGATCATTACGGGAAACCAAAAGGATAATGCACAAACAACTTAGCTATAGTCAAAAGGTAGAAGCAACCTATGTGTCTGTCCATCAACTGATAAATGGATGAACAAAAAGTGTTAATATTCACACAATGAAAAATTACTCAGCCATAAAAAAGAAT